AGACCCAAAGAACTACACAGATATTTCTCCAAAGAAGACATACAGATGGCTGAAAAACACATGAAAAGATGCTCAACATTGCTCATTATCAGAGAAATACAAATCAAAACCACAAACAGGTACCATCTCACCCTGGTCAGAATGGTTGATATCACAAATCTACAAACAATAAATGCTGGAGAGGGTGCAGAGAAAAAGGAATACTCTTACACTGTTAATGGGAATGCAAACTAGTACAGCCACTATAGAGAACACTGTGGAGATTCCTTAAAAAAAAATGCAATAGAAGTGCCATACGACCCAGCAATCCCACTGCTGGGCATACACACTGAGGAAACCAGAATTGAAAGAGACACCTGTACCCCAATGTTCATCACAGCACTGTTTACAATAGCCAGGATATGGAAGCAACCTAGATGTCCATCAACAGATGAATGGATAAGAAAGCTGTGGTACATATACACAATTAGATATTATTCAGCTATTAAAAATAATGCATTTGATTCAGTTCTAATGAGGTGGATGAAACTGGAGCCTATTATACAGAGCAAAGTAAGTCAGAAAGAAAAACAGCAATACAGTATACTAATACATATATATGGAATTTAGAAAGATGGTAATCATGACCCTATATGCATGGCAGCAAAATAGACACAGATGTAAGGAACAGACTTTTGGACTCTGTGGGAGAAAGTGAGGGTGGGATGATTTGAGAAATGGTATTGAAACATGTATATTATCATATGTAAAATATATCACTAGTCCGGGTTCGATACATGAGACAGGGTGCTCAGGGCTGGTGCACTGGGATGACCCTGAGGGAAGGGATGGGGAGGGAGGTGGGAGGGGTGTTCAGAATGGGGGATGCATGTATACCCATGGCTGATTCATGTGAATGTATGGCAAAAACCACCATAATATTGTAAATAGTTAGCCTCCAATTAAAATAAATTTTAAAATATATAAATAAATTAAAAGTAAAAAAAAAACAGAAAAAAAAAAACCACAATGAGGTACCATCTCATTCTGGTCAAAATGGCTATCATCACAAAGTGTACAAACCATAGGTGTTGGAGAGTGTGGAGAAAAGGGAACCCTCTTACACTATTGGTGGGAATGCAAACTAATATAGCTACTGTGGAGAACAGTGTAAATATTCTTTTAAAAAAACTGGAAATAGAAGTGTCATATGACCCAGCAATCCCACTGCTGGGCATACACACCGAAGAACCAGAATTGGAAGAGACACATGTAGCCCAATGTTCATTGCAGCACTGTTTACAATAGCTAGGATATGGAAGCAACCTAGATGTCTATTGGCAGAAGAATGGTTAATAAAGCTGTGGTATGTATACACAATGGAATATTACTCAGCTATTAAAAATAATGCATTTGATTCAGTTCTAATGAGGTGGATGAAACTGGAGCCTATTATACAGAGCGAAGTAAAACAGAAAGAGAAACACCAATACATATATGGAATTTAGAAAGATGGTATTGACGACCCTATATGCAAGACAGCAAAAGAGACAAAGATGTAAAAAACAGACTTTTGGATTCTGTGAGAGATGGCAAAGGTGGGACAGTATGAGAGAATAGCATTTAAACATGTATATTACCAAATGCAAAATAGACGACCAGTGCAAGTTTGATGCACTCAAAGCTGGTACTCTGGGATAACTCAGACGGCTGGTGTGGGGAGGGAGGTGGGAGGAGGGTTCAGGATGGTGGGACACATGTACCCATGACTGATTCATGTCTATGTATGGCAAAAACCACCACAATATTGTAAAGTGAGTAGCCTCCAATTAAAATAAATAAATTAATGTTTTTAAAATGCAGCTAAACCTGAGGCGTTATGACATAGCTAATCATGCCTGAAAACTGATCTCGTTCACTTGTCTCACAAGCATTTCAGGTAGTTAGAACTCTTAGTAATATGGATTCCTGGCAAATATCTCAATCAGAAACTCCACTATGCCAACACTGAATATTGATGGTTGTATAGTAGTAATTTCCAAATGCAAATAGAAAACACTTGCATATTAAATGAACACTTGCCTAATAATGTTAAATATATTTCCAAAGGATATGAATTTATTCTAGGAACTAGTTACTGGATACCTATGACTTAAGCACTAGATCAGGTAACATATACATGAATAAGATATGTATCTGACTTCAAGAAGCTCATGGTGAATATATTCAAGAAACCAACAAAGTGATTCTGAACCCTAAACAAAGGAGACTAGCATGTGCAAACAAAGAGAATAGAATGATTATCTTTGAAGGAAGATCAAATTTCCAAACTGGTAAGGGTATTTTAAATCCCACTTCTGGGCATACACACCGAGGAAACCAGATCTGAAAGAGACACGTGCATCCCAGTGTTCATCACAGCACTGTTTATCATAGCCAGGACATGGAAGCAACCTAGATGCCCATCGGCAGATGAATGGATGAGGAAGCTGTGGTACATATACACCATGGAATATTACTCAGCCATTAAAAAGAATTCATTTGAATCAGTTCTAATGAGATGGATGAAACTGGAGCCCATTATACAGAGCGAAGTAAGCCAGAAAGATAAAGACCATTACAGTATACTAACACATATATATGGAATTTAGAAAGATGGTAACGATAACCCTATATGCAAAATAGAAAAAGAGACTCAGATGTATAGAACAGACTTTTGGACTCTGTGGGAGAAGGCGAGGGTGGGATGTTTCAAGAGAACAGCATCAAAACATGTATATTATCTAGGGTGAAACAGATCACCAGCCCAGGTTGGATGCATGAGACAAGTGCTCAGGCCTGGTGCACTGGGAAGACCCAGAGGGATCGGGTGGAGAGGGAGGTGGGAGGGGGGACTGGGATGGGGAATACATGTAAATCCATGGCTAATTCATTTCAATGTATGACAAAAACCACTGCAATGTTGTAAAGTAATTAGCCTCCAACTAATAAAAATAAATGGAATAAATAAATAAATAAATAAATAAATAAATAAATAAAGGCTGAGTAATATTAATAAATAAATAAATGTACTGAAATTAGCAATGAGAACTGCTATATGAGGTTTCACTTATTGTTATTTTGGAATTAAAGTAACAAAATTCACTGATGGGTTGAACTGAAATATCTTGAATAATGATTATAGAGAGATATATTTTCTATATAGGTGCTAATTTTTGAGAGTTTAATAAAAGTTTGTATAGAATGATGATGTGTTATAAAAGATGTGGACTCTGGGAGAAGGAGAGGGTGGGATGTTTCAAGAGAACAGCATCGAAACACGTATATTATCTAGGGTGAAACAGATCACCAGCCCAGGTTGGGTGCATGAGACAAGTGCTCGGGCCTGGTGCACTGGGAAGACCCAGAGGGATCGGGTGGAGAGGGAGGTGGGAGGGGGGACCAGGATGGGGAATACATGTAAATCCATGGCTAATTCATTTCAATGTATGACAAAAACCACTGCAATGATGTAAAGTAATTAGCCTCCAACTAATAAAAATAAATGAAAAAAAAAAATAAGGGAGCAAAAGACCCCTTGTTCCCACAGCATTCACCAAAATGGAAAACACTGAATCTTTAAATGTCCTTTAGAATTCAATGAAAATGACATTTCTGGACTGGATACTCTGGCTTGCTGATGTCTTCAGCTTCAAACCTTTCAAGTGAGCTGGTACACCAATGAGTAAAGGTCCTGGAAAGAATCCTCTGAGTTCTGGGACCCGTCCTATCTGACCTGTTTGAGAGTACTGAGTACACTTAATAGCTGTGCAACCCAGTCGTATCATCAGTAATTTCCATAGCCTGTGCCAAGTGATGGTTCGCAAAGTCATTTAAACCCTGAACTGGACATTTATAAATGTTATATGACCATGAAGGAGAGATTAGAATGATCTCTTGTACTTCACAACCAACAACCTTATAATTATATTAGTTAAAATATAGTTTAAATACAGGATTATATTGTGCTTTTTGACCACTTAGAAAATAAATTTCAAAAAATAATTTCCTTCTGTGTTTACAATGTTCAATATTTTAAAGTCTGACATGTCATAAACAGTTGAAAAACAGAATATGTTGAATTACATAGTTTTCAATATAGTAAAACTGAAAAAGGTTAATGACAGCTGCTATCTTTCTGATTAAATGTTATCTTTTGTTAACATTTTAAAATTACTATTATCTATGAAAAAAAATGACTCTGTGGTCAAAATTTCAGAAGGTCCCAAAGTTACCTAGTAAGATATGATATGGATTAACAAAGGGACAACAATTAAACATCTATGAAAAACATATCAACATCTAGACTGATAGCTTATGTCAAAAATTTTTAAAAAGCAAAATTATGTATGGCATGCTGTCAAAGTAAGTCTTTCATTTTAGTAACAAGTGACATTAAGAAAAGGTCATCTGTATTCATATTAATTCAGTAATTGCCATGGGGATTGTTTTTAAACTTCTTCTAAAACAGGTATATTATTATATATTTTTAAAAAATCTTCATAAACTGAAACTCAAGATAAAATTAACAAGGAACACCAGGGAAAATATCCCCTTTGCAATCATTTAAAAATGAACATAGGCTTTAAAAAAACTATTGTCATAAATTTCACACTAACCACCACTATGCCTCATCTTGCAATGCAGCATTAATACTGCTGCTCAGCAAACTGTTCTTAAGACCTTAACCACTAAACTGACCAGCATTAATTAAAATGCCCAACACAGTGACTAATATCCAGATGCCTGAGCGAGTCAATGCAGAGCCCCAGGATGCTTAATTTATCAAATGGAAAATGGAAGTGAAAAAAACTGGTAGATAGGTACTGTAAAAGTCTACCTCTTTTAATCAGTCAGTTCAGTTCAGTCACTCAGTCATGTCTGAATCTTTGCAATACCATGGACTGCAGCATGCCAGGATTCCTGTCCATCACCAACCTCCTTTAATACCTTCTCTTAAAAAATTAAGGATCTGAAATTACCTTATAATCCAAGAAAGAATTCACTTGCTCTACTTCAGAATTACTTAGCATATCACTTTCTTCATCATCAATAATTTCTATTTTCTGTAACACAAGTAGAGAAGTTTTCATAAATATATATCATCATCACCATTACACTCAATAATGTATAGAGCATATCATTCAATGTTCAGTTTTAGCGATTGAGTTTTCTAGTCTAGGTTATCAAGAGTAAGTTCTAACTGGCTCCTCAGCTTTACACCTAGTATGTGTCTGAGCCACCTCCTTTGGCAATAGAAAGTTATTGTAATATAATTTAAAGTAGAAAAAACACTTTCATAATATCCTTGAAAAAATAAGTAATCAAACTCTGCTTAAATAGTGCCCTTCAGGAACAGGGAATTTGTTTTCTGTAAAGGTAGACTAAAAGTTTAATTGGCTGGCAGAACTTTCTTCTTTACACTTTCGTATTTCTCTTTGCAACTTGTAATGCAAAATATCAACATATGACATTCATTGCAAAGTCAAATACAGTTTTGTTTTGTTTTGTTTTTTCCCCAAAAAAATCCACTTATCCACAGCACTCCATTAGTGAGGTAATTGAAAGCAAACATTTAGAATGTAATGGTGATAAGAGTATGGTGATTTGTTTCCTTCACTGGACAGTAAGTGAGAAGAGAGAGAGCAAAAACAAGAGAAACACTAAACTGCCCTTCAGTTCAGTTGCTCAGCCGTGTTCAGCTATTTGCAATCCCGTGGACTGCAGCACAGCAGGCTTCCCTGTCCATTACCAACTCCTGGAGCTTGCCCAAACTCATGTCCATCAAGTCAGTGATGCCATCCAAACCTCCTCCTCTGTCATTCCCTTCTCCTCCTGCCCTCAATCTTTCCCAGCATCAGGGTCTTTTCCAATGAGTCAATTCTTTTCATCAGGTGGCCAAAATATTGGAGAATCAGCTTTAGCATCAGCCCTTCCAAAGAATATTCAGGATGGACTGATTTCCTTCAGAACTGACTGGTAAGACCTCCTTGCAGTCTAAGGGACTCTCAAGAGCCTTCACCAACACCACAGTTCAAAGGCATCAATTCTTTGGCATTCAGCTTTCTTTATATTCCAACCCTCGCATCCATACATGACTACTGGAGAAACCATAGCTTTGACTAGACGGACCTTTGTCGGTAAAGTAATGTCTCTGATTTTTAATATGCTGTCTAGTTTGGACATAGCTTTTCTTCCAAGAAGCAAGTATCTTTTAATTTCATGGCTACAGTCACCATGTGCAGTGATTTTGGAGCCCAAGAAAATAAAGTCTTTCACTATTTCCATTATTTCTCCATTTATTTGCCATGACCAGAAGCCATGATCTGAGTTTTTTGAGCTTTAAGACAACTTTTTCACTCTCCTCTTTCACTTTCATAAAGAAGCTCTTTAGTTCTTGTTCACTTTCTGCCATAAGAGTGGTGTCATCTGCATATCTGAGGTTATTTATATTTCTCCCATCAGCAATCTTGATTCCACCTTGTGCTTCATCCAGCCCAGCATTTCCTATGATGTACTCTGCATATAAGCTAAGTAAGCAGGGTGACAATATACAACCTTGATGTACTCCTTTCCCAAATTGGAACCAGTCTGTTGTTCCATCTCCCATTCTATCTGTTGCTTCTTGACCTGCATACAGATTCTTCAGGAGGTGGGTCAGGTTGTCTGGTATTCCCGTCTATTGAAGACTTTTCCACAGTTTATTGTGATCCACACAGTCAAAGGCTTTGGCATAGTTAATGAAGCAAATATTTTTCTGGAACTCTCTTGCTTTTTCTATGACCCAATGGATGTTGGCAATTTGATCTCTGGTTCCTCTGCCTTTTCTAAAATCAGCTTGAATTCTGAAAGTTCATGATTCACATACTATTGAAGCCAGGCTTGGAGAATTTTGAGTATTACTTTGCTAGCATGTGAGATGAATGCAATTGTGCAGTAGTTTGAATATTCCTTGGTGTTGTCTTTCTTTAAGATTGGAATGAAAACTGACATTTTCCAGTCCTGTGGCCACTGCTGAGTTTTCCAGATTTGCTGGCATATTGAGTGCAGCACTTTCACAGCATCATCTTTTAGGATTTGAAATAGCTCAACTGGAATTCCATCATCTCCACTAGCTTTGTTCATAGCTAAGCATTGCTAAGCAATTACTTTGCATTCCAAGATGTCTGGCTCTTAGGTGAGTGATCACACCATTGTGGTTATCTGGGTCATGAAGATTTTCTTTTTTTTTTTTTTGGTATAGTTCTTGTGTGTATTCTTGCCACCTCTTCTTAATATCTTCTGCTTCTCTTATGTCCATACCATTTCTGTCCTTTATTGAGCCCATTTTTGCATGAGATATTCCCTTGGTATCTCTAATTTTCTTGAAGAGATCTCTAGTCTTTCCCATTCTATTGGTTTCCTCTGTTTCTTTGCATTTATCACTGAGGAAGGCTTTCTTGCCTCTCCTTGCTATTCTTTGGAACTCTGCATTCAGATGGATATATCGTTCCTTTCCTCCTTTGCCTTTAGTGTCTCTTCTTTTCTCAGCTATTTGTAAGTCCTCCTAGACAACCACTTTGCCTTTTTTACATTTCTTTTTTGGGGGGATTGTCTTAATCCCTGCCTCCTGTACATTTTCATGAACCTCTGTCCATAGTGAACATTGAACTATGGATGGAGCTTCGTGATGTTGTACAGCAGGCAGTGATCAAGTCCATCCCCAAGGAAAAAAAAACTGCCCTTAGCTTTAGAATTGACATACAGCAGTTTGTATAGTATCTTGCACACAGTAGGTACTAATTAAATATTTGTCAAAAGAATGAACATAACAGCTTAAGATCAATGGAAAGAATGGCTGATAAGCTCCAACCATAGAATCTCTAATCATAGAATTCTTTTTAAAGAAAAACAAAACCAAAACCCAAAGACAAATCTGCCTCAATTTTTTCTTTTGCATATGAATAATTCAGTTAAAAAAGAAAAAAAAACACTTTAAACATTTAAACCCTGCCAACCCAAAAGAAAATTTAAAAAAGAAAAAAGCTAAGCTAGAGTGAGTCACTAGGCAGTCTTTTAAGAACAATCACACTAATAGCAACATGTCACAGGCAGAATTTGAAATCAAATTTCCTAGCCAGCAATTGATATGGTGATTAAAAATCACAAACGAACTTGGAATGATTATATTTGATATATTGCCTTTGGGGATATGATACCATAACAGGGTTTGTTACCATCAGTCTTCTGAGTCAGAAAGACAGCTGCAAAGGAATTGCTTTGTACTGCTGCCTGGAGATGAATCTAATGTTTTGTTTTCTATTATAATAACTATAAACTTGGGGCTTACTTATGTTGGCTCTCACAAGAACACTGATTTGATATCTTTTTTTGATGCTGTTGTTTAAATTTTTATATTTGGATAGCTTCTGGGAAAACAGAGCTAAGTAATCAAGAGAGAAGGCTTGAGGGGCCACTGTATAGATTTGTGCATATAAATAGGTCTTGTATGTCTTTGTGATTTGCCATCCATGAATAATTGGGGACACTCAAAAGTTATAGGCAGAGGAAATAAACCTTTGAAAATTTGAAGTTTTGTCTCTGAAAATAAATTTTTCTTGATAAATTAGGTGCCTTAGTGACTGTGAGTCATCCCATGCCAGGACTTCATTCATTATTTTCAAATGGCTGCCACAGGGGAGATTCAATGCTGAGAAATTCAAACAGAAAATGAGCATGTCTTTAGGGGAACAAAGTTTCCAATTTGTAAATAACTGCATATAATTTGTAATAGTATTACTCAAATCTAGAGCAAAGGAAATTATTAAATAGTGGAATTAAGAATATTGGCACAATTAATAATTGTGGAAAACAATTATTACTAGCTATCTAATGAAAACACAACTTTGCCTCAAAATAAAAGCTAATTTTTCTATATGCCCATTCAATTTAGGTAGGTCAACCATCAACTTAAATCAGGACTGAAATCAGTAAAATACAATCTTAAACTACACTCTGTATGCGGAAAACACTGTTATATATAGTTTATATATAGCAAAAAAGAACAAAACTGGATTTTATGTGCTCAAGTTTTATTAAAGTGATGTGACAAAACTATAATGCTAGATAAATAATGTTCGTAGTGGAAGCTAGGGTAAATCTTGAAGTTACAGCCATTTTGTAACAGAAAAATCCATTATATAGACCAATTGTAAAGATTACAATGAAGCAAAAAACACTGATTTGAAAACAAAAACAACAGCACAATATTTTCCTTTATGTCTGACTTTGGGTTAATACCATCTTGATTTCTGAATTACTTGATTGAGTCAGAATATGAACAGATACTGCTAAAACAGCTGCTTCGAGAACATCTTTATATACCAATAATGTTTACATTTTTACAAAACCTAGTTTAATCCACACGTAGGCTGTATCTGCTTGCTATTCAATTTTTTAATACTACCTTTCCTCTATTACTACAATATTTAAGATGACTAGCTGAGTCCAATTTAACTAAAAAGAAGAAAAGTTTCCAAACACAGTGGAGACAGGTATGGTCTGAACAAAGAACACAAGAATCAGGAATGCATGGATACAAGTTCCAGAACTGAGAATGACTTCTTTCATGGTCTCATGCTAAACTTTTTTAAAATTCTGCCATCTGTCAAATGAGAAGAAATTGGGTATTTGCTGAATATGTTGAAGCAAAATAACTTGTTATGTTTAAAATGTCACATATATAGTAGGCATTAGGTTTTCACATTTGCAAAGCTCTTACATAAATAAGGTACAAATGATATCACTTTAAATTTCATCTATTAAACCCTATAAGATATGTCATTGCATAGGTAACAGATCTGTTTTGATTTGTGGAGCAAGACTTTTTTTCTGACAATACTGATATTGTCACCAACGGGAAATAAATCTTGCAACCCATCGTGTAATGAGGAAAGAATCTCAAAGTGTACGTACCACATTATCTGCAGATACTGCATGGTGGTTCTCTTCCTTATGAGCCCTTGCCTCATTTGGAACAACTTCATTTGACTCCTCTATGGAAACAAAGAAGGCCATAATTTCATTTTTCATTCCTTAAATCTTTATTGAAACTTTTTTTTCAAAATAACTTTAATAATTTCTCTATTGTAAAAAGACACAAATGGCAATTCTACTTCAAACAGTGTATTCTAAGAAAATAAGTATGGATGGGTTCAAATTTAAAGATGGTCATCACTGTGATGTTTATAATTGAAAAATCTGAAGCGTTTATATGGTTAACAATAGAGGCTTGGATAAATCATGTGGGGCTCATCCTTAAATAAATGCTATAAAAGAACTAAAAATGAAGTAGAAGAATAGTTGATATTAAAGAAAATCTTCATATCTATTGGAAAGAGAAAAACTGAAGGTGACAAAATCTACTATGTAGGTACAGTGTGATCTTAATTTTGTTTAAGAGAAAAAGCATATGGAGAAAAAAAAGACTGACACTATTTACACCAAGGCATTGCCATTATTATTTCTGAATGGAATTACAGACAACTTTTATTACTCCTCATTTTGTCTAATTTACTTGCTTTGATAATTCTTATTTTCTTCCATTTGCTTATTTATATTTAAATATTTTCTACAATAAAAATGTAGTGCTCATTTTAATAAGAAAAAAGTGACAAAAATAATTTTAAATACATGATATAAAACTATAAATATAGTACATTTTCAAATTTGTAATAAAGGATGTGTATATGAGTATACACAGACACACATAAACAATCCTGTATATATGCAAAGAGAAAGCACTGGCATAAATATATTCTCACCCCCATTTCAGGAATGGATATCACTGAGAGGTATGATTTTTTTTTCTATTTTTTTTCGTTTTATGTTGCAATATTTTCTATAATGAACGTGTATTCATTTTATGATCAAAAGTTAGTACTCTCATACTGTAGGGGGAGTGGCCAAGATGAGCTAACCTCCTCTCATGGACACACCAAAATTGCAACTATTTACAGAGCAACTACCCTTGAGAGCAATATGAGAACAAGCAGAAAGTATTAACTACTGAAAATACAATGGAGGGGTCACAAGAAGAGGAATGAGAGGGGTGAAGACACAGTACAGTGAAGACCCATACCCTTGGGTAAGATAACAGGAGGATAACTATAATTGCAGAGATTCTCCCCCAAGGGGAGAGGGATCTGAACCACACATCAGGCTCTCCAGTCTAGGGGTTTTGCACTGGGAAGATGAGCCCTCAGAATGTTTGACTTTGAAGTGCAGCAGGGCTTACATTCAAGAGAGTCAGAGGGCTGTGGGGAAAATACTCCATTCATAAAGGGCACACAAAATCTCACCCTCCAAGATCCGGGGCAGAAACAGTCATTTGAAAGGAGCTTTGGTTCTGATCTTGAAAATCTTCCTGGAGGCAGGAGGCAAATGAAACTCCCCTTGGAAACATAGAAGCTAGCAGTAGCCATTTGTGGGAGTTCATCCCACCATAAGTACACTGGTGCTGGTAAGCACTATTTTGGAATCCCCCCTCTAGCTTATTCTTGCCAGGACTCACCCCACCCCCAGTTCTGAGATGCCCCAGGCCAAACAGCTAGCCAGGTGGGGACACAGTCTTACCCTCCAGCAGACTGACTGCTTTAGGGGTTCTTAAACTCCTAGTTGCTCCAGGACCTGGCCACATCTACCAGAATGCCCAGGACCTGGCCAAGGTCACCAGTGCACTTGCACTAACCCTAGGACTCCCAGGGCCCTGAAGCCAGAGACTGTGGGACCCAACTCTGTTCACCAGTGAATGGCACTTTTGACACTTTTATTCAACATGATATTGGAAGTCCTAACCACAGCAATCAGATAAGAAAAAGAAATAAAAGATATCCAAATTTGAAAGGAACAAGGAAAATTGCTATTATTTAAAGATGTTAAGATACTGTACATAGAAAATGCTAAAGTGAAAGTGAAGTCACTCAGTCATGTCTGACTCTTTGAGACCCCATGGACTGTAGCCTACCAGGCTCCTCCATCCATGGGATTTTCCAGGCAAGACTACTGGAGTGGGCTGTCCTTTCCTTCTCCAGGGGAGCTTCCTGACCCAGGGATTGAATCTGGGTCTCCTGCATTGCAGACAGATGCTTTACCATCTGAGCCACCTAAAGAAACCATCAAAAAGTACTAGGACTCATCAATGAATTTGGTAAAGTTGCAGGACAGACAATTAATATGCAGAGATCTGTTGTGTTTCTATACACTAACAGTGGATTAGCAGAAAGAGAACTTATGAAAACAATCCCATTCACAATCACATCAAGAAGCATAAATTACCAGGGAATATATCTAGCTAAGGAGGTAAAAGATCTATGCTCTAAAATTATAAGATACTGAAGAAAGAAATTGAAGATGACAAAACAAATGGAAAGAAATTCTGTGTTCATGGGTTGGAAGAATTAGTATTGTTAAAAGAACTATACTCTGCAAGGTAATCTACAGATTCAACATGTTCCCTAACAAAATACCAATAGCAATTTTTTTTTTTTACCAATGGCATTTTTTAAAGAACTAGAAATATTTCTAAAATTAGTATGGAAACACAAACAACCCTGAATAGGAGAAACAATCTTAATAGAACAAAAAAAAAGATATCATGCTCCGTGATTTCATACTATACTATAAAGCTACAGTATTCAACAGTAAGTTTCTATCACAAACACAGATACATAGATCAACAGAACCAAATAGAGAACCCAGAAATGAACCCACACTTATATGGGCAATTAACTTATGACAAGGGAGGCAAGATGGAGAAAGTACAGCTTCTACAATAAATACTATTGAAAAAACTGGCCAGCTACTTTGAAAATAATCAAAATAGACTATTTTCTCACAGCATATACAAAACCCAAAACAAATTAAAGATGTACCTGTAATATCTGAAATCATAAAACTTCTACAAGAAAACATAGGTAATTTGCTCCTTGATATTAGTTTCAGCAATATTTTTTGGATATATATCCTCAATCAAGGAAAACAAAAGTAAAAATAAACAAATAAGACTACATCAAAATAAAAGTTTTCACACAGTGAAGGAAACTCAATATAATGAAAAGGTCACCTACTGAAATGGGACAAATTATTTGCAAAGGATGTATCTGATAAGGGATTAAGATCCAAAATATACAAAGATCTCATAGAACTCGATATAAAAAATACAAACAACCCAATGAAAAACTGACATTTTTCAGTGAGTAGACATTTTTCCAAAGAAAACATACAGATGACCAACAAGAAAAGATGGTTAATATCACTAATCATCAGGGAAATGCAAATCACAACAGTGAGATATCACTTCACATCTGTCAGAATGCCTGTTATCAAGACAAGAAATAACAACTGTTGGCCAGGATGTGGAGAAAAGGGCACCCTCCTGCACTGTTGGTGGGAATGTACATTGGTGCTGGCAGAAAATATGGATAATAGCATGAAGACTCCTCAAAAATTAAAAATAAAACTACCATGTAGTCTTGTTGCTGTTGTTCAGTTGCTCAGTCATGTCCAACTTCTTTGGACTGCAGCATGCCAGGCCTTCCTGTCCTTCACCATCTCACTGAGCTTGCTCAGACTCATGTCCATGGTGTCAGTGAAGCAAAGCAACAATCTCATCTTCTATCATTCCCTTCTCTTCCTGCCTTCAATCTTTCCCAGCATCTGGGTCTTTTCTAATGAGTCTGCTCTTTGCATCAGGTGGCCAAAGTTTTAGAACTTGGGCTTCAGCATCAGTCCTTCGAATAGATATTCAGGGTTGATTTCCTTTAGGACTGACTGGTTTGATCTCTGTGCAATCCAAGGGACTCTCAAGAGTCTTCTCCAGCACCACAATTCAAAAGCATCAATACTTCAGTGCCCAGCCTTCTTCATGGTCCAACTCTCACATCTGTACATGACTACAGACCGTAGCTTTGACTATAGGAACCTTTGTCAGCAAAGTGATGTAACATGGCTGTGTGTTATAAATGAAAATTTTTAGGAGAGTAAATCCTAAGAGCTCTCATTGCAAGGAAAATTTGCTTTCTATTTCTTTAACATTGTTTTCTATTTGAGGTGAGGGGCTTTTGCAAAACTTTTGTGGTAATCATTTGATGATGTATGCAATTCAAACCATTATGTTGTACACCTTTAACTTATACCATGTTGTATGTCAATTATATTTCAACAAAACGAAAAAGAAGTTAGCAAACTGTAAATTTGAATGAGTAGTCAATGCCTGACTGTCACATTAAATAACAATAAAACAGCAATGAAATTAAAAAAAAACTCAGTAGTTTAAAAATGAGAAAAGAAAAAAATTAAAAAAAGAAAATCAATTCAGAAAAATCAGTCTACTAAAAAGCTTCATGCTGAGCTAGAAGAAGTGGCTAATTCACAGCATAGTGTACCTACAAGATAATCCTTTATCTTAGATTTCCTCCACCTCTACCCCTTATAAAAACAGATGAGTAATGTTTCTCTCTTTTATTTCTGAACACCATATCATGAACATTATTTGGATAAATTAGTAGAAGTTCTCAGTTTCTTGGTAATGAATAATTTATTTCACCAGAGAAAGCAGAACAAAATAGTTATCAGTTCTCCTAAGATTTTTTGAGTCCATCCCTTCCCATGGAAAGACATATGAGTCCCTGTACGAACATGGAGGATGACTAGGAGGTAGTCACTGCTCATCCAGGAACTCACATATGAGTGCATGGAGAACGAAAGATATTCAGGGAAAATTTACCAGAGTTTTAATACAAAGTCTACTATGAACTCATTTTTTTTTTCTAGAAAAGAGTGGTTTCTAGATTTCCAGTTCAAGATGGCATAATAGAAGGACATGTGCTCATCTCCCTCCTACAAGAGGGCAAAAGCACCAAAATTGCAACCTAGTTGTTAAGCAATCATCTACAGGAGGACACTGGAACCCACTCCCCCTCCCCCCCAAAAAAAGATACCCCAAGTCCAAAGTCAAAGAAAAAGCCACAACAGGACAGTAGGAGGGGCACAGTCA